AAAATCAAGAATCTTGCGACTATTTTTGTGTAGAATAGAAAGAAAACAGTACATCAAGATAACTCAAGTGTACACACAGTTCTAGCTCCACAGATTTCTCATAGACTTATGTCAAACAGGACCCCCTTTCTTTTAACGTCAAACAGGGCCCTGATCGTTGAAGATTGGATGAAGTAACTTGTTCTGGTAGGCCATTGTTCTCTAATGAACACCCAAACATTCATACTTCATTTCATGATAACAATGCCACGTGAATCAACTGATACCGGTACGAGTGGGCGCCCTTCGGAAAAGGTCAAATGAGTGGACGTTTCAGAAAACTTAGGGGGTGTTTGATCCGGTGACTAAAATTTAGGAGGTGTGTTGGGAGGATATTTCATGGGGTGTTCGGATACTAATAAAAAAACAAATTACATAATCTGTCAGTACTCCACGAGATGAATTTTTTAAGCCTAATTAACGCATCAGTAGCACATGTTTACTGTAGCACCACACTGTCAAATCATGGACTAATTAGGCTTAAAAGATCCATCTCGCAAATTAGTCGTAAATTATGCAATTAGTTTTATAACTAGTCTATACTTAATACTACATACATGTATAAAACATTCGATAGAACAACGACTAAAATTTAGGAGGGGTGGCTAAACAACACCTTATCTTGAAACCGCCTTACACTGCCATCAATTTCAGAGCTGGCCAATTTAGTATTCCTTCCATTGACGAAATCATTGGTAGTACGTTGTACAACAACCGAGCGAAGACTAGCGAGAAAAAGTGGTCAGAGGATTGGTACAGGGAATTCTCAAATCATAACTCTTTCGTTGATAATAAACTCATGCTTTCAGTCCAACTTCCGGTGCTACGGCTCTTACTATTTTTTTTTTTCAAAAGTACGGCAAAAGCTCTACTTCTAAAATTTATTATGAGGAAGAAAAAAGAAGATAACAACAATATGTCATGTTCGCTTAGCTGATAAATCATGACTGAAAGTACTGCTGGCTGATTTGCTGTGAGAGAAAAATACCGTTCGTTGACTGAAAAAGTACGGCTTATAAACCAAGCGAACAAGGCATATGTATGTCTTCGTTAAGCTTGTTCAGCTTTTGGTACACCTGTTTTTTGTGAGAGCTGGAGGGTGCAGACAGGGGCGGACCTAGGGCACGTGCCCCCATTCAAATTATAGGTTTTTAAAGAAAATATACCTTCTTTCGTGTAACTATAGAGATTCATCAGTAACATGCCTTCACTTAAATTTTGTGCTAGTTCCGCTCCTGGATGCAGAGATTGTGAAATGCTCTGAACTGTTGTAATGTTATTTAGCCCTATGCAATATATGACACGCTGTTGTCTCCAGAACTCTAAAACAAATCATGTCTTCAGTCTTCATATCAACACGCTGTTGTTGAGAGAAACTTTGCGCCATTGACGTTACTGATGAGTCTGTATTCTTTGGACGATAACTAGACGGCCAGGGAATGGAAAGACTTGTCGACGGTAAATCAGAAGAACAAATCAGCATGAAACAATGAGCTACCAAAACAAGTCTAAAGAGTGATTCCAATACGCAAACGATTCAGGTACTGCCATACTTTTACCACGTCCACAGACGGACAGAACAATCTGCATTTTGACAATAATGCCGCGCACGACTTCTGAAACACGTCTTTACCTACCAAGATCACTACCGACCCAATGCAAAAAAGGCTTCCCAACAGGTCAGTATTTGGAGTTGGTGAGGACTGAGAGACTCTAGAAAGGTAGTATTACATGAGATGCCAAAGGGTGAATGAAGATTGCTGTCCATTCATACATCAACACCATGCACCAACCCCCAACAACAAATTCCAAGGACTGCTCCTGAAGAAAAGAGGTGTGTGACAGATATCCAGAGGGAGCCAAAAAGAGTCGTGGTGGCACCACCCCCCTTTACAAAAGCATCAGTGGATGCAACTTTGGGCAAAACATCATCACCTACGTCATGCTCATGTAAATAGTTGTTTTTTTGTTTTCATATAGTATGTATATAATATATTCATCCAGTCTTCAGAAACCCAGCAAGTACTGAATAATCTGTAGTCAAACCGGCACGCCATAGCATCTGTGGAATGGCCATGGAGTCTTTGAAAATCACTATTGAGAAAGACTAGAACTCGGGTAAACTCAAACTTTTTGAACTACTAAAAGATATACGTAATATCAAACAAATATTACATGACCCACATCTACTACATGACCCAGCATCTAGTAATAAACTGGTGTGTAAGACGAATTCTTTTTTCAGAGAAAAACGAGGCCTTTTCAGGTAGGGTTGGGGGAGACCAGACCACTGCACTTTGAAATGGGTTGGCGGTAGGTGAGGTCTTACTTACTGGTAACAATTTGGCATGACCAGAAAATGAAAGCACGTACGCACCGAATGAGGCTGATAACGTAGCATATATATGTGTGCGGTGTGTGCACAAGCAAGCAGACGTCGTCGGTAGGTTGTTAGTGAAAGGGTTGCCCTGGTTGCCCCTCCACCACCACATCTTAGCAACTGCAAAGCGTCACCAAAGTCACCACCACCATTTAGCTCGCAATAGCTCATCAGCACAATACCTAACACGTTTTAAGAACCACCCTCCGTCCTCCCAAAGCCTTGTAGCTAAGCAAGCTAGCCTCAACAACATCACACACGACCCACTCCATTAGTTTTCCTTTCCCAGCTCATCAGCTCCCATGGCTGCAGGTGCAGCTGCCTCCACAGGCTACTGGTCGCTCGCGATCGGCGCAATGCGTGCAGCCATGGTGTGCTGGGTCTGCTTGGCCTACATGCGCGGTGTGTGCGACTGGTTGCCATTGCTGCCGGCAGTGACGACGACCGGGAGCACGATGAGCACCCCGCGGGTGGGGCTGCTGGTGCTCTTGGCGGCCATGGCGCTGGTGGCGGGGTGGTTCCTGAACGCCGTCCGGCCGCCTCCACCGACGCCGTGCGGGACGCCCGGGGGCCCGCCGGTGACCGCGCCCAGGGTGCGGCTCCGGGACGGGCGGTACCTGGCGTACGCCGAGTCCGGGGTCAGCAGGGACCGCGCGCGCTTCAAGGTCGTCTACTCGCACGGCTTCTCCGGCGGCCGCATGGACTCGCCCCGCGCTTCCCAGGTTGGTGACGGCGGCCTCGCCCGCCTGCGCTGCACGTCTCTCTCCATCTTCTTTCTTCCACATGCATATGCTGTATGCGTGTGCTTGAGGCCGTGGCAACCACTACCACCAGTCCGATAGTGCACCGGCACCGGAACAAGTTGGTGGCCAGCACCAACTCCACCTCCAACCCCGTGCGGGCTGGCGGCTGACGGCTGCTACGCATGCATGTGTGCCGGCGTCGTCGTCGCTCACCAACCCTCCACCAGGAATAACACGCAACCCCGACGTTCCACGAAAACGACTAGGCACGCGTGGAATTCTCGCTGTTTTTGCCTACCTGAAGCGTGTGTGCGCCGGCACGGTGCATGCATGGCCAATCATTTCATTTCCAGGCTCGCTTGACCGCGCGACTGTGTCAGTAGTCAGTGTAACTGATGGAACGCGCTCGTCTCGAACAGGAGCTGCTGGAGGAGCTGGGCGTGTACATGGTGGCGTTCGACCGGGCCGGGTACGGCGAGAGCGACCCGGACCCGCGGCGGTCGGTGGAGAGCGCGGCGCTGGACATCGAGGACCTCGCCGACGCGCTGGAGCTCGGCGACAGGTTCCACCTCGTCTGCTCCTCGCTCGGCTCCCACGCCGGCTGGGCCGCCATCAGGTACATCCCGCACAGGCTGGCCGGGCTGGCCATGATGGCCCCCGTGATCAACTACCGCTGGCGCGGGCTGCCGCGGGGCCTCGCCAGGCAGCTCTACAGGAAGCAGACCGTCGGCGACCAGTGGTCGCTCCGGGTCGCCTACTACGCGCCGTGGCTGCTGCACTGGTGGATGAGCCAGCCGTGGCTGCCCACCTCCACCGTCATCGACGGCTCCGCGCCCTTCCCCAACGCGCTCGACGAGAAGAACCGCGTCATGGCGCTCTCCAACGGGATGTTCCACTCGGTTCGTCGGCTCGCTCGCTCGGTTGCCTCAATTACCTTGTCCTGTCCCCCAGAACGAAACCAGCTTTGCAAAGCGATGCTTACTATTCTGCCGGCCGTGCCGTGTTTTTTCTTGTTGCAGAGGGCGAGGCTGGCGACGCAGCAGGGGGTGCAGGAGTCCTTCTACCGCGACATGGCCGTCATGTTCGGGAGGTGGCCAGAGTTCGAGCCGACGGACCTCGAGAAGCCGCCGTTCCCGGTGCACCTGTTCCAGGGCGATGAGGACGGCGTCGTGCCCGTGCAGCTGCAGCGGCACATATGCCGCAAGCTCGGCTGGGTCAACTACCACGAGCTCCCCGTTACTGGCCACTTCTTGTCAGCGGTGCCAGGACTCGGCGACAGGATCGTCAGCACGCTCCTGTCATCGCCGGCGTCGGCGTAACTGATCCAGGACTCGCATCTAGCGAGTAGTAGTACATGACTGATCTGTTGTAGCTACATGTCTCGAAGCAATGCTGATCGTTGAAGAAAGGCACTTCCTGTGAGCTCAGGCTTAGCCGCTACTGTATTGTACCAAGAAACTGAATAGAAGAAGGCACGTCTTTTATATATCATTAGAGGGAGGGGTATTTGAATCGTTGTACATAAATATTTATCCTCAGAGACAGAAAATAATTCCATCCAGATCTGCAATTTACATACAGCTACAAAGAAGAAAGAATAGTAACTGTCTAGCAACTTTGAAGCTATCTAGATTCACAGGTGCACGACCCATCGTAACAAAACTGTTACAGTACACACGCTACGGCTGCAAAGGACGCAGCCGGATTTCACCAATCAAGAAAATATTGGCTGTAAATAGGTGAGAAAAGAACACAGCTGGGGAGGAAAAATAACCGCTGCTCATCTCCCGCATTGAGCTGCTATGAATCCAAACATATTCACAACCACAAATAAAGAATCAAGCGTTGATCTCTGCATCACACTGTTGCTCCCTGTGGCAGCTTCTTCGACTCCAGAACATGCCTGAGCAGCTGGTCCGGTCTAGATCCTCCTCCCCTCTCTTGTCCAGCTCCATACTTACGCAGTGCGAGGGTCGGGGAGATTGGACCTCGGAACCATCCTGTGCATCTGTAGCACCGCATGGATCATCGTCGCTGCACCTGCAGGTTGGGAGGGCGGACGACGGGAATGGGCTGCAAGTGATTGGACAGACTAGCTCTGAAGAGACAGCTGCCACACGGTTGCGTCTGATTTCTGCTTTGGAGACAGTGGCTGGCGAGTCCATAGATCGGGTGTTCAGTATGCATGGGTTGCAGAATGTGAGTGCTGAACTTGATTTAAGCCCTTCTGTTGGTGTGCTTGGTAGCTTAACGAATAACATTATGCCATTCCGACAAAGAGGGCACGGGATGGACCCAGGTGGGCCTGTGAACTCAACACGGATGTTGCTCATTGAGCAGAGGTAGAGAGCACATTTGATGCAGAACTCATGAGTGCAACCTGAAAGGACAAAAATATAATGTCAGCATACCAGCATGACACTTTACACATTGGGACATATTGTAGCATGATCTACATGACCAAAAAGATCAACGGAAATCCTATTGAAAACATATAGCTTTATAAAAGCTTAAAAGCATTTTATGCAACCAAGGTCACATATACAAGTGCCATTAGTGTTTTGGTATTTAACTTTCATTTATATAGTGTTGTGTTACTTCCACTGATTTTTAAAGTTTCAGAAAATGACAGCATCTCTTGCAGTCATAGTGTCATGTGAAGCGAGAAATATTGAAGAAGCCTCTCTAGGTAAAATTTAAGCAAGTGTCTAATGTGATAATATTGAAGAAGTCTCTCTAGGTAAAATTTAAGCAAGTTACCTTCAGCAGCAACAGAACAAGACCTTTCTAGACAAACTGAACAGAGATCATTATCATCAACTGTCGGTAAGGTATGCTGCAACCCAAATTCTCTGCAAATGCACAGCAAATAAAATATATAAACAAATGTTCAATACATTTTAACTTTAAGATCATTTGAATGACTATATCTAAACCACATGTAACGCTATCAGCGGAAAGAAAAAACACCAAACACATCCAAGGAGGAATTGCAAAGCCAGTTAAGTAGGTAAAATTGCAAAATCAGCAGAAGTAACTCAACTTCATTCTAGCAGTTTAACTCCAACATACTTAATTTCAGATTACTAGAAACATAAATGATAAAATAACTGGAGTACGAGATGACTATACTACGATGATTGAAGGTGACAAAAGAGACAGATCAATGACCACATTTTCTCCATACCCAACAATCCAAGCCAAGCATTGTTGCCTTAGTAAAAGTAACAATCTCTGGAAATAATGCAATTCTAAAAGAGATGCAAAACTGCCCTAACTCTTCACAGATATTATTTCTGCTAGAATACAGAATGAAACAGCTTTCATGGCCTCCTCCTTTACTTTGCAAAAAGCATAGGGCATATGTTGACATATCAAAAGTCTTCTAGCATAGCGACATACATTCATTATATCAAAAGCCAGCATCAATAGCTATCTATGAAAGTAAGAAATTCAGTTATAATACTTTACTTCCAGCTGAAGAAAACATGTGTGAGTTGTTAAACACTAACCTGGCTATATTAAGTATGCTCATGAGCGGCAAGGCAAGATAACTTGACGGTTGAAATACAGGGACATTCGAGTGGGAATTCGGAGAAAGTAATGGCTCCAAAGAGCGCCGTCCAAATATTCTAGCAACATCAACGGGAAGCCACCTAAACACAAGATAGTGAAATAAGTTACGGCTACTCATGTGAGTTTGGCCAATGGATAAAATGGTAATATTACTAAAGATTTGGAATACTACATAACATTATTAACAAAAACAACTTACCCATTGCAATTGAGTGTCAACCTGCTAGCACCTTTTGATATTAGTAGCTACAAAAACAGCATCATAAAAAACCAGAACAAATTAATTCTTCATTCAATAGCTATAACTGAAAGTCTGAAACGGGCTTCTTGTCAAAAAGGTGATGCTGCTTTATGGCATTGATTTACCTCACAGCATTCTTGTTTCCCCCCGCCTGCTGCATAATGCAACGGTGTACTGCCAGCTCCTGTTCCACCAGTGCATTGAAACCTTATTTGAGTAAAGAAAAATAGCATTGTTCAACGCATTGCATCTGAGCTAAGAACAAACACTTGCCTATCAAATTTGTGGTAGTGCCATAGGGAAATGTGACAGCTGAAACATTAGCACCCAAGTCAATCAACAACTGCATGCAATCTAAGTGACCGTTTAATGCTGCCATGTGAAGTGCTGTAACGCCACCATCAGCAGGCTTGTTGATGTACCTCGCACGGGCACTGAAGCAAACATGGAGTTAACAGATAGTTATTTCAAACAATGAAATTTGATTCATTGACAACACATACGATTCATTAAAATTCTGCCCCAATGAGGAATTAGCACTGCTCCCACTGTTCGTCTGACAATCACCACCATCCACCACGGAAGAGGCAATATCCTCCAAGGCCACACTTGGGACAAAGTCTGCAACTAAAAGCCTAATACACCGAACAAATCCATCATGTGCAGCAAAATGCAGTGCCGTTCGACCACTCAAGTAATCTGCCCTGGTAACCTGAATCAGCCAAAAAAAAGTCAGCACCCACGGACCCACCTTGTGCTAAGCCAAAAAAAAACGTAGCAGACAAAAATACTATATTAGACAACGTCTTACATTGCATCTGAAGAGAAGAAGCATCTGAACCACCTCCCAGTGCCCATGCCGACACGCATGCATCAACGCAGTCTTGATCCATCCATCAAAGCAATTGCAACCAATCAACAAACTATTTGATACAGATAAAAAAACTGAAGAATGAACAAAAATGTAATTCCTATCCCACGTGCAGAAGTGCCAGAAAGAGCTATGAAATCTAATCAAATCTTGGTTCAGCTCTGGAGCATAGGCACAAGTGCATAACAGGTTCAGATTTTCTTATGCCATCGCTGAGCAGAGCAACATAATTAGTCACCTAAAACTGAATCTTGATGCCACTCTCTCTTTCAATGGCACAAGAGTTGACAAATCCACCACTTGTGCACGACAGATCTTAGCATTTTGTTCGAATTGCACTCACAGAAGATAACTGGAACACACAGATGAGAACTTTTGAACCCAGAGAACGCAGAAAGATCTACCTGGCCGCAGTAGTTGCGCGCGTTCACGTCAGCGCCTTTCTCCAGCAGCATCGTGACAATCTGCACAGAGACAACAATTCTTGACCCAAAATCGAAGGGGGCAAAACGCTGAAAACACGGAAGAATCCGCACGTACGTCGAGATGGCCCTTGGCGGCGGCGAAGTGGAGCGGGGTGTTGAGGCCGCCGAAGGTGGAGTAGCGCGCGAGCGCGGGGCTGAACTCCAGCAGCATTCGCGCCTCGACGGCGTCCCCGTCGCGCGCCGCCGAGACGAGCCGCTCGCCGGAGGCCAAGCAACCCAGCGAGTTGCCCATCGCCGGCGCCGGCGAGGCAGGCGCGCCCTCCGCAACCACTGGGCGATGCGTGCCGGCAGAGAGCGGACTCCGCCGCCGCCGCCTCCGGGGGGTACGCGCGTTCGCCGGCGGCGAGGGGCGCTTCTGTGATTTGCGCGAATTCCGGGGGGCGGTGCGGTGGGGGTGGGTGGTCTCCGCGTCTCCTGGCTGGGGTCTCAAAATTTCGCAGCTCCGGAGGAAGAGGGAGGAGGACGGGATGGGGAGTGCAAATGGAAGGCCTTTATTAATTTTTTTCCTTATTATTATACCACATTTTATATTCTATTGATTTGGATTTATTATTTATTTATTTACCACCCTTTTATTGTCTGGCTCAGTCTGTCTCGAACAGGAGACCCATTGCAAAACCCAAACCGAAAATGGGTCACCAACACAATATCTATAGCATCCAACGGAGTACATGTATGGAAGACCCATTTTTGCGCAGACGCGAGGGCCCCCGCACGCGGGTCCGGAGGGGTGTGACTCTGCGCAGATTCCACAACCACCGGAGGCTGTCCCGGAGCGTCCGCCATAGCGCACTCCTGGGACGGACGGTGGCGAGGTGCCACGTCGCCGATGCTGGAGCCGTCGCTCTCACCCTCGTCATCCGGGAGTTCGTGGAGAGTGGCAGGAGCGTAGCTCACCATTCCCACGAGTTCGGATGTGAGGGGGGATGGCGCCAGCATCCTTCGGAGCCTCCGAGCGTACGCATCCGCGGAGGACGCGAGACCGTGGGGGAACCGAACGTACGATGTTCGTGGCGCGGGCAGTACGGTCCCTCCGGATGATCGGCGGGAGATAGTAGATAAAGAGTAAATAACTGTACGCATATTACTTACAGCGGGGTTTGAGCAGAGAGTTTGCTCGGAATGAAGCGCAGATGCCGCGTCGTTGAAGTCATGCGTCCCGGAGTCGATGGAGGGCGCCCCTCCGACAGGTGCCGGAACGAGTGCCTCCTCATGGAGGTGTAGTACGCCGAACCGGTTGACGATGAAGTCTAGGCTTTCGAAGAGGAAGGCCTAGGATGGCTCGAAGACGGATGGAACCCACATCCCAACAGGTGGGAGCGCGGAAAACTCCAGTGAGCCGAAGCGAATCGAATCTCCAGAGCCCGCCACGGCGAGGGTGGTGGAAAAGTGGGCCATCCGATGACAAAAAAAGTGTTGAACGTACAGCATCTTCCCCACGGATGGCGCCAACTGTCGGTGCAGAAAGTGACCAACACGTAAATATTTGTAGTTTTGCCGTACGTTGTGATCGGAGGTGGCCTAGCACTCAATGACACAGGGTTTATATTAGTTTTGACAACGTGCCCTACGTCCAGTTCGAGTCGGTCGGTGACTTTATTCCTGAGCCCAGGTGCTCGAAGTTTGCAGTGAGGTTACAAACGAGAAGGAGGAAGATGGGGGTGTACGAGAGGTCCGACCGGACCTCGGTCGGAAGGGCCGAGAGCGACAGGAGCTCCGCTACGAGCTAAGTGTTTAAGCGTGTGCTTGAGGTCCGAACCTGACGGTTCTGGTTGTGAGCTAGTGAACTTAGATGATCTAATGGATCTGGGATGGCTTGGAGAGCCTAGATTGACCTTTCTCTTCGAGCTGCCTGTGTTGGAGGGAGCGCATCCCATTTTATAGATGAAGAGGATGTCTTTTACAAGTGAGAGGGAGATGGTACGTATGCTACTGAACCTTGTTGCCCACGCCGATGGGTACGAGATAATGGTAGGCGGCCACACACTATTGATGCTACTGTTGAGTGTCAGATGCATGTGGGAGGTGGTGTTGTCTTCTTCGGGTATGGCAGACGTCGGTACCTGGATATACTGTTGATGCCCAGAGGCATGTGAGGAGTTTCACCAGGTTCACCCGGTACGGTAAATCCCGCCGCCCACGATACTATCGATGCCCAGAGGCATGGGGGAGGGGAGGGCTTACCGTATGGGAGTTTAACGGTGCCTACAATACTATAGAGAAAAATGTCAGCGCCTACAATACTATTTGTGTCAGGGCGGTTACAGAGTACTGTTCCTGCAGGTGACAGGGTATGGTCCCTAGTATCATGGTTTGACTTGAGTGCCTTGCCTTGCTTTCTCCGTTCGTTCCCTGGTCCTTTCTGGGCGAGCGTCCCTGGTCGGTTGGTCCCAGTCGACTCTGGTTGCGTCAGTCAGAGAAGAGCAGTGAGCATGGTCTTTGCATACCCCGGTCGGAGACACGGGATCGAAGTCGGAGGTAGTGCTTTGTCAGGCCTTCCGGTCTGAGAGACCGTCCGAAGGCGGGTTGGAGGCCGAAGTGAACGCTCCGGTCGGAGAGGTGGGCCGGAGTCGGAAAACGGGCGCTACTCCTCCTCGGCCAGACCTCCCGGTCGTTGATTGGATCGCCCTTCTGGCCTGCTGTTTAGATACTTGGGCGGGGCTTGTTGCGGGGAAGCCGGTCCGCGAGGTACCTCAGGTTTATGAACCCAACAGTAGCGCTACCCAAAGAATAAATGGGTCTTATATTTTAGGTCACGGTTGTTGAAGACAGTCTCACTCAAGTAGGAATGACATACTGACATGCGTGTGTGACCGTGACCACGTGAGCTGTGATTGCGCTTAGGGTCTAGGCTGCTAGTAAAAGAAGCCAGCTAATAGTTTCTTTATTAACGTTATTAGCTAGCATGTTATCTAAGATCCTATTTGAATTCTCTAACTAATACTGCTTTCGTATAAAAAAGAATGTAATTCTAGTACAAGACCAATTTTATATAAAAAGATATAAATTTGGCCAAAAACATTAATACTTTTGCCAATATATGGTGTCAAAAACATTAATATTTTTGCTTATATATTTAGTCAACCTTTGAACACTTCAATTAACAGCTAGGATCGCTCCTTTAGTGTGTAACACTAATAGTTGATTTGCATGATGACGCTCACGTGCCCAACGCTCTCGGATGGATCCTTTCTGTTTCGGTGGTAGATGAAGTGGGTGTGTTCTTATCTAGGAGCAGATAGAAAAAGACGAGCCACAAAAGTCCTTTTCGTTATGGGCTCGTTGGAACCCAAATTTGTTTCAACTCTTCGCTTTTCGCCACTCGCCATCGCCAGTTAATCTCTCTTCGCCACGACAGTGGATTTTGTAGAAATAGAACTGTCCGATCCAGCCCCAACTGTCCCAGGCACCGGAAAATCGACGGCGTTGCCCCCCGGGCGTGTTCGTAGGTCTCGATCCAAACAAGCCCGGGAGGCCGGCCGTAGTGTTTCACGACGAGACGACCTGCCCGTGTTTTTGCGTTACAGACAGGGCGAAAAGAAGAGCAGAATGGGGTGATTGCGGTAGGCGAGTGGGGTCGGCGTAGCGTGGACGGCGGGTCGGTCTGTCCGGCTCTGTCCGCCGGAAAATGGGTCCAACGGGCAAGAATACGGGCCAAAGACAAGCAGCTCGTTTGTTTCGGCTGGATTGACTTATAAGCCATGACTAAAAGTACTGCTGACGGATTTAATGTGAAAAAAAAATACTGTTAGCTGACTGATAAGTCAAAGTTTATAAACCAGATACATAGATACATGCTGCCGAACATGCTGGAGACTTTATGGTTGGGGTTGGGGACATGTTTTGTCACGCTCACACACAAAAGTGGCCGGTAGACGGCACCTGCTGCCTGACGAGCGCTTGCGTCCAAGAAGATCACGCAAAATCTAACCCGTTTTTTCTAGGTCTATATAAACGCAGGGAACGTACTACATGTTAAACAAGTCGCCGTCGCTGTTGATAGCTCACGAGTAGGTGCTCCGTCGTGTGTGTTTTGTTTATTTAAGAGCCGAGTGAGTGAGTGATCCCTTGCATCACGCTGATAGGTACGTCCCACTCCCACTACTGTTCGCCTGCGTCTTTCGTGTGAGTTCGGCCCAGCGCATCAACAGCTCTCTGGCCTTGCTTGGTGGATGGTTGGCATCAAAATGGCAATTGGTGTCGTAATTTGTTACGTCAAACCTTCGGATGCCACAGAAACTCTGATGAGTATAATCAAAGAGCTGCAAAAAAAAAAAAAAAAAAAAAAAAGTGGCATGGCACATTGTGGTGGTCACGAACCGCCCTGAGCCCTTCCTCTTCCTTACAGGTGGACGCATATCCGATCGAAGAAACCCTAAACTAACTTTCGGAAAGAAAAAAAAGAAAAGAAAGAAACCCTAAACTATTACATAAGCGTGAAACGTGTATAAATAATTAAATATGTGTCGATTCATAGGCCATGTTCGCTTATCTTATAATTCGTACTTTTTAGCTTGTTTTTTTAGCCAGAACAGTGTTTTTCTCTCACAATAAATTAGCCGGAACAATGTTTCGGCTTGTTTATTCAGCGAAGCGAACGGAGCCACAGTAGTTTAAGTGCTATGTTCTTTTTGCATGCGGTTAACTTCTGCACTAGCGCAGCAAAATATCAACACTCCAGCGTCTCAACTTGCCATCGATCCCTCTTGTCTTATAAAACTCAACTTGCTACCAACCTGTGGATGACATGTTCTTTGCAGCTGTTGCCTGTTGATGAGGTTCGGTTCAGCTACTGCTGATCCGTGCTAAAGTTTCAGATCTGTGACCGCAAAATTAATTGGATAATCAAATTTTTATTTTCCTTGCATCACTTGCTCTAAAAAAATGCAATCACATGCAAGTAAACTATGCTGCTGTTTTTAAAACGATGCCAATTCATCAATTGCAGATCTGCTCATACTGCACCTGGAGATGCCACGCGTATTTATGCTTGCATTGGTGGCCGTGAACACAATCGTCGGCAACTTGTTCAGGTCAAAGGTATCAGGGAGACGGAAGATTCAGAGATCTTCACAAGACGGGAAGTAACAAATACGCATTGCATCGTAGTGTTAGGACATCTGTACCATTTTGTCAGTTTACGTGGAAGAGACAAATACACATTGCATCAGAGAGTTTGGACACTTGTACCATTTTGTCAGTTTATTGACGTGTAACCGCTCATTTGTTGCGACCATAAAAAGCTATTATCGCTAAACCACGCAAGCCAATATCGGGCAGAACTTTATGCTTATATACGAGACACCAGTGGTTGATAGAAAGAGACGTGCAATAATCAAAACTGACATTCTGGGATTTCCAGTGAAGGAAGCAAGCACTCTGAATTCTCTTGTTCAACATGAACCTGGTAATACAACAGCCTAAGTTATCATCGATACACATCTGGGTACACAACATAGCGAAACGAAAGGTACAACAAGCCGATTCCACCATGGGCAACAAGCAAACATAAGGTTTGCCTCTAGGGTCACACTCTAGTCTTGGTGACACGCCCAATCAAGGAACTTTCAGCCCTCTTTACATCTAGCAAGGCATTCGCTAGCTACATCACTCCTCCATAGCGGCCCATAGCATGCCCTGCACATCTCAGAAGAAATAACTGAGAAACAGGGATTTCCAGTTCGTCCACCTATTTCACTTCCTCATGTGTTCAGGAACAATCCGATGGACGAGCTCAATTGGGAGCCCTTCGAGTTCTGCATCCCAGTTCCAAATGTGTTTTGAGACAAGAGTACAATGAAACATCAACATCATTTAGGCGTATTGAAAAGTTACCAGCTGCAGTGAAGTCGAACAACGGTGGCAGTGGCCGTCCACTTGGCAAGCAGACCTTGGGGTCCCGCAGCTCATCAAAGAATGGATGGGCACAAGCATCAACCTGAAAACATAATTAAATATCTTTCATCAGAAACTACCGAGTTTCGAAGCTCTCATACTTCTCCAAACATAGAAATGACACCGACTCATGTTCATAATAAAATGAACATGATAAAGATACTATTGCTTCAGATACCAACTGGCATATAACTGGTTTAACTGAAGGAAAATATAGGGCTTAGTATCAATAGCGACACATCTATACTAATTTGGATTCACTAATTGGTCAGTTAAAATCTCAAATTAGTTCTTACAGCAGTGCAGCGCAGATTTGGTGAGTACTGAAGTAGCCTTGACACAAGATCAACAGCTTCAGGTGGCATGCGCTTACCAAAAAGCTACACGAAAATCAAACTTAGGTGAGCTGGTCAACTGACTACAGCTGAAATGAAAAATACCACAGAGATTAGAGATCCCTAACCTTGTGCCATGGATGGGCTTTTATCTGAGGGAACTTGAATTCAGAATAATTTGGATTCATGCACCTGATTTCCTCTCTTGTTGGAGTACCCAAAATCTTGGATAAAAAAGAAAAGGAAAAACATTCAGTCTACAAAGTATCACCAGTGATTTCATGACATAATTTGATAGCAGATGCAAACCTTTATTATTTCCACCAGTTGATCAACACCACTTTCACCAGGAAACAAAGGCTACAATTGGGGGGGACCCAGTCAACATCAAAAAAATTGTCAGCAGATAAAAAGTATCTCAATTAACAGTGAGTTGATCAAATCCTAGTACATAAAATCCAAAACTGCAATTTTGTAGTTTATATAGTAATCTTTGACCCAAAAAAAAAGACAGATTTTACAATGGTAAAACAAAATTATTTCCCTCTCAGAAAATGGTTGGCATAATAATCAGCTGGAAGCCAAAGGTGAACTTAAGATTGAGATCCTATACCTGACCAATCAGAAGCTCAGCCACTACACAGCCAACAGACCAGATATCGATTGCAGTGGTATACTCCGTAGCTCCAAATATTAGTTCAGGAGCCCTATAATACCGCGAGCAAATGTACGATATGTTAGGCTCACCAGGGACCTGAAATGGATATTTTACTTTATTAAATCCATGAAGATATTCAGAAGGAAGAAACTAAAAGAGAGAAGTGTACCAATTTCTTAGCGCTCCCAAAATCGCAAATCTTAAGTTGATGTGTATGAGGATTGACCTGGAAGGTTAATCAAGTTGCAATAAGAAACCTGTTCAGCAGTTAGCATAAAACAGAACGAAAAAATATTTCATAGATTTAAGCAGACAAATTGTGCATGAGAACCTGCAGATATGCACTTACACAATATGTCTGTGTTCACAGATGTTACAAGCAAGATGATATCAAAATGGTCCAAAAAGGGAATAACAGAATACTCGCAACACTACCAACCACTCAAGCTGCCTCGAGGAAAAGTGCATCTGGGAACTTACCAGTAGATTTTGAGGTTTAATATCACGATGACACACACCGACAACACGATGGGTGTAAGCAAGCGCACGGCACATCTGGACAAGAAGGAATACAGATCATTCATAATGTTCATTCCATACCAACCAATGATTCTAAACTTCTTGAAAAAAATCTGATAGGTGGAATCTGGAATGAAACAGAACATCATCATATACCTGATATGCATATAACTTAACGTATATTATGGGTACACGCTGGTTCATCCGATTGTAGTATTTGGCAACACGATAAACTGTCTCAGATACAAATTCAAGTACTAGGTTGAGGTAAACTTCTCCCCTTTGGGTTGTTGAAAAGAAGTGATGCTTCAGCTGAACTACATTCGGGTGGTCAAGTAACTGCATAGTCTGGAGCTCTCTATTCTTGTAGCGCTTATCTTGTAACACCTTTTTTATTGCCACCGTCTCACCAGTTTCCAAGCATTTTGCCTGTTATACAAGATAAGTTCAATGACTTTGGCCCCAGCATCGTGAACTTCCATTTCTAGAAATAAGTGTTATACGTTGAGGCCAAAAGATGGCAAATGGCGTACCTGGAAAACTACACCAAACGAACCAGTACCAACAACCCGTTCTGCCATGTATGAGACCTTCTGTATGACCAATAGAAACAATACCAATGATTCACAGTTCGAGTTTCACAAAATGATGTTCTAAAACAAAAAAAAAAAAAAAAAAAAAGGACAATAAATCAAACGAATATCTAAAGAACAAAAGTTTGCATCCATCACATAAAGAATATCCAATAACAATAAACAAAAGTAGTATAGTGCTGCTGCAATGTCATCCACAGAGGAGTTTTTTTAAATATCTACATATAAAAATCAAGTGGCCCTGTTTACATAGCATGCAGCAATATTCGATGTAATGTACTGTCATTGGTATTCAATGCCTTTTTAGATGAAAGCAAAAAACAATTTGTATTCGATGCTAGCAAGATATAGGTTAATATATTACCTGCTTTGGCTTCCCATTATGGCCTCCTATTGTTGTCACAATTATCTGTCCTGTCTCAGTTCCATTCCCATCAAGAGTAACACCTTCACCATCCTATGGCAGAGAACACGAGGCATGACTACCAAAAGTAGAAATGGTAAGTGCTCAGCAAGCAATGAATCAATGAGATTGAAATAACCTTATCATTGTGGCCATCAGCTTTATCGTCATTAATTGTCATATCATTCATTTCTTTGGGAAGAAGATCTGCTACTGGTTCTTCAGTTTTAGCAGGCTTCATGCTAGTAGATGTGCTTGCCTCAGCATCCCTATTAGATGATGACGATGATTCTTGGTCTATCCGCACAGGTTTGTCCTCAGTTAAGTGTGGCTCGATAACAATATCTCCTGCTCCATCCTGCTCAAATTTTGGCCTTTTGGAGCCAGAGTCACCACCCTAACAGTAGACAACGAGAAATGGTTACTTGTTTCGTAATTCCTTAGTATTTATAGAAGAAGAAAAGGCAGAGTTTCTTCAATGTAACAGCCCCCATTTCCCATGTCCTTTTTTGTGAACGGGAGCCATTTCCTGATTAATCCATTGGTTAAATCCTTCCCGAATGAGCAAATTTTTTTGAACCAATGGACTGACTAGAACCTGCCATTATCCTTTACTCGTAAAGTCTCAGTGAATAGGCTACTTTCCATTTTCTACATGGTCCTATGAAGCTCACATTGCTAACGCGTTACAGCCAAAACCACATCTATTAGACCAACTGGAGAAATAAATACTTCAGCAAAAACAAACAAGATGTCGACTTTAAAGCGCAAGGAGCCGAATGCCAAATTGGCTAAAGCAAAATAAAGCGCTTGCCACCTGAGGAGGCAACAGGCCGTGCAACGCTTTAGCCTTTGTAAGGTAGGCAGCCACAGCCAAGCAAGCAAATGGAACGAACAAACGCTGCCGCAAGAGACGACCGAGCGAATCCCCAACAAAATGAACCCAAACGTTAGCGTAGCGTCATTAAACACCCAATGCGGGTGCCCGGGCAACCAATCGCGGTGGGGAATGGGCCGGGAAATGGAGCTCTCACCGGATCGGAGACTGACGAGCGGCCGGAGGCGATGCTCTTGAGCCGCCGCATCATATGCATCCTCCTCCTCCCTCACAGGGCGCCGGCCGATGCAGCCCGACACCGACGCCAAACCCTAGCCTCCCCTTCGCCCCGCCTTCGTCGACCCCGTCGCCCGGCTCCTCCACCGCCCTCGCGATGCAGCCTCGCCGCTGCCGGAGGCGGTGATCTAGGGAGGGGCGGCCGCGGGGGAAGGCCCTGGAAGCGTCGCGAAGCTTCGGGGGGCCGTCGTCGCGGGGAGCCGGGGAGAGGCGTGCGGTGAAAATTTTGGGAATGGGAGGCGGAGGAAGGGGAGGGTTCGCTCGCTGCACCACTAGATTTCTCGATGCTTTTTTTAGCTTTGTGACTGAGCTCTCTCTCCTCCGGTTGTTGGTGATGGTTGCCAAAATGGCAAAGCTGAGAGACCTTTGCATTCAGCTCCCTGGGATTTTTTTGCTATCCTCGAATCGGGCTTAGTTTTCAAATGGTTCGGGAGTGATTTGTGTATCGTCCACTTCTTTTTTTCAAAAATGGTGCTGGGTGTATGTGTTTTGCCCACTTTTTATTATTCACAAAGTTGTATGTCCATTCAACAGATGTTTATGGACCAAACAATAATAACATTTTATCACAGAATAAATAAATAATGTGTATGATATATCAAGTATCATGAAAGAAAACGAACAATTGCCACATCAAAACTTCATAAGCATCATTTGACTCATCACTTCCGTAAACCTGGATTGAAGCTTCGTCAACCTCGACTTTTGTAGGATTCTTTTTTATGTGAATTTGGTGTATGATTAAACAACTTTTTATAGCCTTGTGCTCGACTAGCTAGGATGAGTCCAAATTTCTATGCTTTAATTCATCGACTCGTTTTCCCTAGTAAACTAGGGTGAACCGAGGGAGACTCGCTCTCTGGTGTCGATCCTCGAAGGCTCCCCCTTGCCTCCGGTAGCATCTATGGCGCCAGAGGGTGTGGAGAACCTTGATTTCGATGGCTAATGTACATACCCTATGCTACTAGGTTTGTATTAAGTAGGTTAGGGTACAGGTTAATGGGGGGCGGCGAGTGCTTTTGCTGCCTCTGCATTATTGTTGGTAGTCACGTTTAGGACTTCAACGCGGCTGGTTGCGGGGCGCCCTTTTGGCACGTGGTGCTCCGGCTCCTTCATCGACGAAAGCATAAGGCTTTCCTTTCCTTCTTTCGGCCAATGTTTATGGACTAGGCCATAACAACATTTTATCACAGAATAAATAAATAATGTGTATAATGTATCATGCGTCATGAAAGAAAGTGAACAATTGCCATACCAAACTTCATAAGCATCATTTGACTCATCACTTCCACAAACCTGGATTGGAGCTTCACTAATCTCGACTTTTGTAGGATTGGTTTCTTTATTTAACTTTGATGCGTGATTAAACAACTTTTTATAGCCTTGTGCTTGAATAGCTATGATGTATTTTGTCCAACTTGCTATGCTTTAATTCATTGGCTCATTTCCCCATGCTACAGTATCCAGGGCGACTCGCTTTCCAACGTCGATCTCGGCAAACCCCTTGCCTTTGGTGGCCTCTATGACGCCGGAGGGTGCGGAGAACCTCAATTTCGATGGCCAGTGTGCATACCCTATGCTACTAGGTTTGTATTAGGTAGGTTAGGGTTTGGGTTACCCAGGGCGGCAACCTTGCATGGGTGCTTTTGTTGCCTCCACTTTATCATCAACAGTTGCATTGTGAACTTCGACGTGGCTGGTTGCGGGGCGCCTTTCTACACGCGGTGCTCTAGCTCTTTCATCGGTGGAAGCATAATGCTCTCATTTCCTCCTTTCAGCAAATGTTTTTGGACCAAGCAATAGCAACATTTTATCACGGAATAAATAGATAGTGTGTATGATGTATCAAGTGTCATGAAAGAAAACGAACAATTGCCATACCAAAACTTCATAAGCATCATTTGACTGATCACTTCCACAAACCTGGATTGGAGCTTTGCCAATCTCGACTTTAGTAGGATTGATTTTTTTCATTTGACTTTGGCCTGTGATTAAAGAACTTTTTATATCCTTGTGCTTGAATGGCTAGGATGTATTTTTTCCAACTTGGTATGCTTTAATTCATCGACTCATTTCCTCTTGCTACAATAAACCAGGGTGAACCAAGAGTGACTCGCTTTCCGACATTGATTTTGGCTCCCTCCTTGCCTCTGGTGGCCTCCACAACGCCAAAGGGTGCGGAGAACGTCGATTTTGATGGTTGATGTACATACCCTATGCTACTAGGTTTGTATTAGGTAGGTTAGGGTTTAGGTTACTCGGGGCAGTGACACTACACAGGTGCTTTTGCTGTCTCCCCTTTATCATTGGCAGTCATGTTGATGACTTCGACGCAACTAGTTGTGAGGAGCCCTTCAACACGCGGTGCTCCAGCTCCTTCACCAGCGGAAGCATAAGGCTTTCCTTCCCTCCTTTTTGCAAAAGGGTGGGCACTTTCAGCATCCCTTTTGGTGGGTTCCTTGTTAATGTTGTTGATAGTGTTGGCAATGGAGAAATAATCTTTCGGTCATCGATCTCGAGGCTGACGGTGTCGTATCCCTCTTCCTCTCCTTTCCTTCACCTGCGTCGGCGGTCGATTTTCATTTAGCATCAACGAATTCTACGGAGCTTCTAGGTGCTCGCTCTTGCGACAGATCCATGGTTTAGCGCCCCTTGTGAGGTTAGGAGGTGGATCTTGACATGATCTCAACAGTCATTTCCAGTGGATGACTTTCAAGCGAGGACGCCGAGAACATTCTGGTGTCTTGGGTGTTATTGTTTCTATTTTCTAGTTTTGATAGGGTGTTTTCTGTAAGACTAGGATGTACTGTGCTATGGTTTCTTCAATATAATTTCCCCTTTGGAAAAAAACTTGTATGCTTTATATAGGTTGAACTGGTTGTTCTTATCTAGAACTGACATGGCTTCCTTTTTTCTTAGATACACTTCAAAGCAACGCTATTGTTGTAGTGGTGTTGTGAGATTCATTTTAGGAGTAAATTTAGACCTATCTTACTACTAAGTGATGGAAACATGCTAAATGGTGTCTCATCCACTTTAGTATAGACCTATCTTATCTAGAAGGCAACGTCAATGTGCTAACTAATGTCCCATCCACTTTAGCATAGACTTAACTCATCAACAAGGTAACACTTATATGCTAAATAGTGTCCCATACACTTTATTCTAAATAGTGTCCCATATGCTTTATCATATACTTAACTTGCCAAAAAGTAATGCCTATATGGTATAAGATGAGTTCTATGTTTTAGTGTTATATAGATGGTAGACTTAAACCATCATAGGAATGACAACGATATGCTATGTTAGCTACATGCATTTGTGGCACTATGTGATGATATTTTAAAATGTGTCGGTTTGAGTGCTATTGTTAGTAAATACTAATCACCCAATAACATATTGTTATCGGGAGTTGATGTGTTATTCTTTTAGTACTACTAATGGTAGACCAATATAACCAACTACGAAAATAACCACGATATGGTCTGGTAACATCCTGATCGTTATCATATTTTGATAATGAAGTCAATTCCCACCAAAGTAACAAATGGATACTATAGCGACATGGTTGGTACGGTAACGTACCAATCATTATGGTGTTTTGAGGATGGATTTGATTCATACCAAAGAAATAGGTGATACTATAGCGAGTTAGCAATGCAACGGGCACCATCACCGTCACCCTCCTCACCATGGTTGATCGTAATGGATGGGTGGTACGATCGAGCACCTGCGTTGCGTTTCTCATTGGAGTCACCGAACGGGGCGGAGCGTGTCAGTTTCAACCAGGGGTGGAGCAAAAATGGTGAGCGAGTGGATGGACGAACGAACAACCTGACCTAGGCTAGGTATTTGAAGGCCATGCCGCCCTAGTAGGGGCTAGGGCTATGTCTATGTGGTGGTGCACGGAACATCTCACGCGCAGGGCCTTGACCGACCGATGCCTCTGTAACAGAACCGTCCAATTTATAAGAGCACAAGTAAAATAGCAACCACCGAGGTAGTCAAACCATCACACTTGAGCCCATATAAATCCGGTAGTCCATCGAGTATCACGAAGGATCTCGAATCAACCAACATACAAGCCAAGATCGTACATGATTCAACATACGAGCCACATGTTAAAACACGTTCATAAATAGTTTGTCATACATCAAAGTTCCAACCTAGTTATTACAACATCAGTTTAATAGTAGCGGAAGCAACATAGCTTAGAACGACATCAACAGTAGTTTAGATACATAGCCAGTTTTCATAGTCATCTCCAACAAAAGCACAAGGATGAGATGATATATAGAATGACCATGCCCATGGTCCTATTCCTCATCCACTGTAGGAGCAAAGCAGTGCTTGCAATAGCCGTGGTACATAATATTATCTACAATAATGGGAATAAAACCCTGAGTATAAGAAGGTACTCAGCTAGACATCAACTAAAATGCTAAGACACCAAGGAGTATGCAAGGCTTTATAAGTAGAGCTGGTAGACATTATTTGCATAAAAAGCATTAGTTATCCAATATCTTTTAAACTGTGAATCACCAGTTATTAATCCTATCTCATACTAGATTAGCAACTATCCTATGCCAAACATGTTGGTACCATTAAGTCAATACAATAATAACCATATCAAGTTGAGCTCTTTCATAATCTCATAACCAACACTTCCATCAATTACTACGATGAAGCGTACCCCTATCAAGTTCTCACTATCCGGGAGAGACGGCGATTTGAATCGATTCCTACCCAGCTAGGGAAATATTCCTAACACACACCCAGGCAACTTGATCAGGGGCCACCTCGGGTTACCTTTGGTACAATTCAGGTCCAAATTGTGGGTCCAATCAGTGCCGCACCCTCAGAGATACTACCAATCTGCTAGGAAGCTCGGGACTCTAACTCGCCCTTGGGTGCATGCCATTGGCTCCCCGCACATCCTTACTGCCTCCAGGTTGCGCACTTTCACTTATCGGGTCCCGG